CCCCTCATGATCGCCCCGGGCCGCCATTTCGCCTCTTAAGGTCGCCCCGGGCCGCCATTTCCCCCCTCAGAGGCACCCCCCGGCCGCCATTTCGCTCCTCACTGCAGCCGTTCCCCTGCGCAGCACAAATCCTCCTGCCTCCGTGCCCATTTTTCCCCCCAAAAAAGCCGTGTCCCCCCTCGCTGCGATGGGACCCGTCCCTCCCAGGGCCACGAGGCCACCCTTGACGAGCAGCCCCGGCCAGGCCTGCACAGCGAGCGCAACCAGGGCAGTTTCTTACCCCCTTCCCCGAAGGGCCACGTTTGTCCCCAAGAGCTCGCGCTGGAGTCAAACACCCCCAGCAGAACAGGAATGCGGGTGCCGGCAAGAAACAACATTCCCCACAAACCTGTCTTTCCCTGCGGGACTAGGGAACACGGATTCCACCCTTCAAGCACGATTGTTACCAGCACAAAACCCACAATCGCGTAACCTCATCAAAGACATTCGTGCTGGAGACTTCTTCATGTAACGAGCTCTGCTGCAAGGGGGACTTAGTGTACACTAAGCCCAGCCTCACAGCTGGGTGAGGCCAGCAACAGAATGAGCAGGATAAAGCAATGAAACGTTTTCTTTTTTCTGCACAGCAAGGGCAGGCAGGAGAGCAGCAAAATTCATCAGTTTATCGCATTGCACACAGAATTCTGCATTTTCCTCAAAGCTGCTAGAAATATACTGCACCTTCCAGCCCCCTCAGCAATGCAAATCCTTCTTCCTGTTGAGCTGGCACCTTTGGGGGATTTAACTGAGAATTAAGACCTCATTTTTCACAAGCATCAGATGCCTGCATCGAATCAATTCGAGACCGAGGAGCAAGGCTGCAGTTCAAGGTCTCAGAAGGAGCAGTCATTTTGGCACACAGATGGTGATGATCAGTGAGATGAGGTGGTGGAAATTAAAAGTCATCTGAGCAGCTTCCGCTCTTCAGTATAGCATGACAAGACACAGGTATCGCATATCAAAGACAGCACCCTCAAGGGCAGACTTCCAAGGACAGTGTGAGTTACAGTGTGATGTCCTGGAAAACATGCACCCTTGGATCAGGAAGGGATCTTGTAACGTGAGGCCAGCAAGAGAGAGTCGAGGACCAACGCGGTGGCCATCAGCTCTCACCTACTTCATCACGAGCCAGCAAGAGCAGGATGGGGTGTAAGTGGATTTAAAAAATTAAGAACAAATATTCACATACAGAAGGGCAACATATCCTAGTTAGGAAATATGACATGTATTTTATTAGCCATTCTATTCCATAAAAAAAGCAAGTACAAATTGACTTTTTCCAAATAGTGGCTTATGCATTCAATCCAAGGCTGAATTTTGTATTTATACTAGGCAAGCATCTGGAGTGTTAGCTCCACACAAATATGCTGAGGTTTTTAAAGCTTGCCAAGTGCCAGGGTCTAGGCTGCTCCAGTCCTAGCTCTCCAGGCAGCTCCATACCTGCCCTCTCCCCTCACCTTCCTGAAATGAAACCTCTTACACTGTCATTACCTGCATCCCTGCAAGCCCACCTGCAAGACACTGCAACCACTACTGCACCCCAAAACTCATCTGCTTCTTTTCCTCATTCCTCTTGTATTGAGTTGCAGGAACATCACATTTCACAGCAAAACACATTAACTTTAATTAATATGTATGAAAACAGCTCATTACTCAAGCTCAAAACAGCCTGGGCATTCAAATGCCAATTAATTTTTGTCTTTAAGCTTTGTTACTTGCTTTAGCCAACTGAAACGACTTTTAAGAAAGCAACAATACCAATTCCATCTTTACAGAGCTGCTTGTCTAACAATTTTCAGATGTACTTGCATTGTTTTTTGCATGTGCAAGGTTACAAGAATCTAAGTTCTCAGGGTTGCCAACAAGAACAGGTTACACTTTCCATCCACCTCCCCACTACAGCAACTTTTTTCTTTTTTAATTATTTAAACCTAGGCAGCACCCCAACTATTTCCATTGCACAACTTGGCCACAGTATACTATCCTTATGTCTTCCCCACAAAAGTACTACAGAGATTCAGATTTGATTTCATATACCAGTATTTTATTCTATTTTCACTTGTTTGTTCCATTGATCTATATATAAAAAATGGTAAAAACATTGCTCAAATTTCTTCTCCACTGCAGTCACATCTGTCCTTCTCTCTCTTCTCCGATGCAACTCAATGCTGAAATAAAATTAAAACAGTAAACTTAACTTTTACAGAGAAAGAATATGCAAAATTCTCATCTAGGAAACACTGAAGACACACTCACAAACCAGCACTGTTAAAACAGCAGTTTACCATATCTTATGGTTCAGGAAAAATTACTGGGGTGAGGAACAGACTGAACAAAGGCCATGTACCTGCTTGGTGAGCTCAAGTCTCAATACAGCTTCCTTAGAAGGAACACATGCCTTTCCCAGGATTCCCATTCAGCTTCCATGTTGAATATCCATCTTCTCTTCAGCCTGCCAAAGCAAATATGCATTAATAATAATATCAAGCAGAGGGTGTGCAGCGTTCCGCACCTCCCCCCGAACACAAGTCACATCATAAACGAGGGTTTCACAAGCCATTCGCTGAACCCATCACATCACAGAAGCACAGTCTGGGAAAACTGTTCCGGGGCTGGCTGCTGCCTTTGATATGCCAGCCAATGTATCATTGATCCCTAAGCAGAGTGTTAACCACTTTGACATGGCTGCTTAGGAAGTGTGGGCTATGGGAAAAAGTTAATGGCAACAAGTAGGATGGCAAAGAAAGCTACAATTAAAAAAAGTGAGCAACTTAATGAAGTCTAGAAAGAGTCTCAATAGATGAACACATATCAAGTCAGGGAATTCTGTTTCCCATCTTGCTTCCATACCTACTAGCAAGACATGACTGCATGCCCAACTCTGATCTGTGGAACTGAAGTTGTGCCACAAGCCAAAGATTGCATACGGCATGGGTTAAAATTTTTCCATCAGTTGACCAAAATTGTCAAAGGAATATTTCACAGGTACATTAGACTTTCAAATGAGCTCTCAACAAGAGGAAGGATGCGGACATGAGCAAAAGGAGTTACCTCGAATTACAGGACTATTTCCACATATGAACTAGCCAAGAGAGCAGCTTTCGTCTCAGAGGTTTCTGTTGGAGGCACAACACTTCTTTTCTCCAAGGACACTGCAGTTTCCATATGCTAGCAAAGAATTCTTAGAACTTGTAAGCAATGACAAAGCTAGCTAGTTACGGCAATTTACCTACCATTGAACACCGTGTCAAGCTAGTAACTAGTCCAGGTACCAAAGGACTGATTCTTTACTACAGCTTTTCAATGTCTGCTTTATTTTAAGGAAACATTGATTATCCTACCCAGCCAGCTGGCATTCCCTTCACCTTTGCTGGCTTAGAATTCAAGTACCAAATTCCCTAAGGTATCATTACTTTCAACAATCTGCCGCTACACAAGTTTCACTAGTCTTATGTGCAAGTATGCTGAAGGTATTCACATGTCAAGACTGGTTAAGATTAAATTCTATCAACTCATCAATCTGGTTTGCTCTAATACTATCAGCAATCGTCTCCTCTGACATCCTCTATTACTTAGTCTATTCTTCATCTTCAAGGATTGTGTTGTGCAATGAAATGTAAATGTCAGGAGCAGAGTTCATTTCAGACGGTCTTTTAATAGGCTTCGTAAAGCCAAAGAAAACTGTATACAAGAATCCTTTACCACTTCAAATACAATATCAATGGAATATGCATATTTCTTCCAGTAAAAAAGGACAATATAAATAAACATTTTCAAGAACCTCTTTTATGGTAAGTTTGCAAGTCTATTTCTGGGTAATTTACATCATTACAACAGTAAAAATACCGTTATGCAACTTGAACATACAAGCAAGTTTCTCTTTAGATATATCAAGGTGGTTTGCCTTCCAATTTGTACCCAGGCTGCATTCCTACCTTGCTACACTAAAGGAATGTTACAAAAGACGAAGGTAATGCACTTAAAAAATAAAAATAAAAAAGTCCACAGCTTGTTCAGCTTCCAGTGAACATTGAATTAAAGGTCCTTTCTATCTCAAAAGAAACTGAATTGGGGCCCCAACTTCACAACTTTAAAAAAACACCTTGGCTCATCATGAAGAATAAAATAAAATCTGAAGTGCTTTCAAAAAAGGTTAAAAACACTTGAAAGCAGAGCTTTCTTAAAGAAAAGTCTAATTAGACCATCTTATATCAGAAGCTGTCAGGCTGTGTTTGACAAGATTAGAACTGATAATACTACAAAAGTGAAAATACAAGTAGATGTACTACACAATAACGATTTCAGCGAAGCTCCAAAAATCTTTATAAATACAGCCATTGGAAGGACGATCTTGAGTCAGGAAGGATTTTTACTCGTTGTGTGTAGCTGAGGACAAGAAGCAGGCACAATTGTAAAGGCACTGAAGCATAGACAAGTTCCAGCATTTTACTCCCTTGCATTATTTCAGAAGCTAATGCTAGTTCACTATGGCTTAAGAGAACTCCCCCACCCTTGATTAAAGTTTGTTAGGGTACCTGAGGTTTGTCTTAGTCTCAAGCTCGAGGAATGTAGTTAAAAAACTTGCTTTGCCTTAGATCCAAGCAACTCCTACACATGCATTACAAATTAGAAATTTAAATGGCACAACCACGTCCGAGGCTTGACAGATTGGTTCTTACGGGCAAGAACAAAAATACTGGTACAGTCCAACTGAGCCTTACAGTACTTCCAGACTTCAAGACAGGGTCAGAAGGTATAGAGAGTTCCTACAGCAACGTACACACCATTCCCATTTGAACTAAGACTTACCGTAACTGTCATAGCTGTCTCTGTAGGAGCCTCCTGAAGACCTGTCACCGTAACCACCTTGACTCCTGCTGTTAAGAACACATTCACACGCGTTATATTTGTTCCTCTGCCCATGAAGCCTACCGCAATTGACAAAGAGGCCAAGCGCTCTACAAAAACATCCAACTATCTGCAGTGACTGTACCTGCTATTATAGTAGTCTCTGGAGCCGTTATATCCTCCACTTCTGGAATCAAATCTGCTTCCGCCATAGCCTCTGTCTCCACCTCCTTCAACAGACACGAGTTTCGATCAGCACGCTGAGAAATTCCTTCATCCTGTCACCAAGCACCCATCTTTACACCTACTCACCTCTAGAAAAGCCACGGCCCCGACCTCTGCCTCCACGGAAAAAGCCTCTGCCCCCAGAAGACCCTCCTCTGTATCCACGAGATCTGTTCTCTGATGATTTTCCAGCCTGATCAACTCTGATCTGACGTCCGTCTACAGACTGGAGTAGAGGGAAGAAAAAAATCGATTTGATATTTCAATATTTGACCGTAAAGCAGACGGTCCTGTAACAGACCCGTCTTCAACAGACACGAGTTTCGATCAGCACGCTGAGAAATTCCTTCATCCTGTCACCAAGCGCCCATCTTTACACCTACTCACCTCTAGAAAAGCCACGGCCCCGACCTCTGCCTCCACGGAAAAAGCCTCTGCCCCCAGAAGACCCCCCTCTGTATCCACGAGATCTGTTCTCTGATGATTTTCCAGCCTGATCAACTCTGATCTGACGTCCATCTACAGACTGGAGGAAAAAAAAATCGATTTGACATTTCAATATTTGACAGTAAAGCAGACAAAGAATTACACACCCAATTCTCAGCTAGGCAGTCTCAAGAGTTACTAATTTGCACAAACAATTCATTTATTCAATATTACAACTATGCTATAACTTACAACTAAGTCAGCTTCCAGTGTATGTGCTGTATCTGCCCCCCTACATAACTTTATAGAACTTCAGCAACTTAAGCTGTTTTTTTCAAGTTACTGCGCTGAATAGGAACACATTATGCTGACTTCTTATTCCCTGAAATATTCCAAAGCCTCCTTACCTTTCCATTCATAGCCATCATTGCATCTTTAGCATCGTCTATGTTTTCAAACGTAACAAAGCCAAAACCTCTGGATCTTTGAGTCTCTCTGTCTTTCACCACAACGACTAAAAAGAAAAAAAACAACAACATCAGCACCTATAAAACCTAGGAAACCTATGGAAATTGCTATGGCTCATTACTGCGACCTTACCTTCAGAGATCTGTCCGTATTTAGAGAAGACTTGTTCCAACGACTGCTCATTAGTGTCAAAACTCAGACCACCAACAAAGAGCTTTCCTTCATCAGATGCCATTTTGTCCTGCAAAGCCAACGTACCACCATTAAACCAAAAAAATACTCGCAAAGCGCTGAGCTGGCTGCGTTGCCCCCAAGAGCCCGGCACCAAATGCGCATCCGTGCGGTGAACACACGGAGCAGCTGCCGCGCGGGCGGC